AGAACAAGTAATAACAACAATAGTCAATATCATCATGGCGGGCGGTGGCGGCGGCAGAACCAGCCTGGGGCCGGTCCAAAAGCCTCGGGGGGCCACATCCGGCCCCCGGGCTTTAGGTTGCCTACCCCTGTTTTAAACCAATAGCACTAGGGATGCAGGACAGTGGTCTTTCATTGCTGAGCAAGGATTTGAACCCTGATCTCCAGAGTCATACTCCAATGCTCAAATCGCTACAACACATGTTGGGTGACCCTAAGCAAGTCACACTCTCTCAGCCTCAGAGGATGGCAGTGGCAAACCCCCCTCTCAGGAAACTTGCCAAGAAAATCCTGTGATAGGGTCACCTTAGGTTTGCCATAAGTCAGAAACAATTTGAAAGCACACAACACACATAGACACAGAGGGCTAGTGAATTGCCCTGTGTATGCACAGAGAACCTTGGCTGCAACACGGGTCACAAAAGTGTGAAAAAGTGCCTAGAAACCATGTGGCTGTCAAATAATTTTGCCCCCAACCTATACTCTCTCTCTCTCTCTGTAAAAGTCAACTGCACTTAGAATTTATCTTTTTTAACCAATTAAAGCAATGGTGGTAATGTGCAGCCCCTAAGAGTTAGTTGGACTACAGTTTCCAACAAAAGGCCTTGGAGTTACAGTCTAAATAATATATAGAGGCCCACACTTTGCTAACCCTGGAAGTAAAGTGTGTGTTGCCCATCTTTCATTTTTGTTAACTCAGGTCCAAAACACACTGCAGAAATGATCCAATTTGAGACCACTTTAACAGCCATGGCTCAATGGTATGGAATTCTGGGAACTGTCATTTTGTAAGACATTTAGCTCTGGTGCCACAATAAACTATAATTCCCGGATTCCCTAGCATTGAGACAGGGCAGTTAAAGCAGTCTCAAATTAGATTATTTCGGCAGTGTGGTTTGGATCTCAGCTATTCAGCTGTACCTGGGTCCTGCGGTTTTTAATTCAACACTGTTCACTGGAATGTACGGTTTCAGAAGTTTTGTTGTTTGTTAGTTCATCTGAAAGAAAAACAAAAGAACCACCGCTTCAGTTCTCTGGAAATAATGGCTCAAAATAACAACAACAACAACAACAACAACAATACATTTTATTTATATCCTGCCTCTCCCTGCGGATTGAGGCAGGTTACAACAAATAGGAATAACAATAAAATACAATATACAATTAAAACCAGATTTCTAAATAATCCCTTACCCCAACCCCCTCCCAATCATAAAAAGAAAAAGATTATTACTCTTTCTTTCCCTTGCCTACTCATCCCTTTGGAAACATTAAGTTCTGGCCACCTTTTGTAGTTAAATGTGGGTTTTCTCCAAATATGAGATGGAACGCCCCAGTGGCAGAACATTTCAGTCTCCCTGGGCTTCCCATCTCAGACCTCAGAGCAGCAGTCCTTGAACAAAAGAAATACAAAGGTAGATTGGAAAGAGAAACAGCAGAATTGGAGATCATCTAGCAAAGGAATGAATGCAGATAATGGCTTCCTAGCACACTACACACATTTCAACACTATCTGACCCCATCCTCATGAGGGCGTCCTACATTCATCTATTCTTTTCATTACAGGCTAATTCCAGTGCCAAACTGGATTTGCAGTTTGCAAACTTCATTTCCACGCACAAAGGCTAGTTTACAATGCCTTTGTTCACAAATGACCGTTGTTGAAACTGGACTTGCCACTTCATTTCCATACACAAAGGATGTTGAATTCAAATTGACATCCTCACACACCTAGGGCCAAATGCATCTGAGGAAGTAGACTTAAGTCTATGCAAGCTCATGCTGCCAACGTCTTTCTTTCAGTTAGTCTCAAAAGTTCCTCTGAACAAATCTTGCCAAGAAAACCCCATGCTTTAGGGTCAGACAATTCAATGACTTTTTTTTTTGCTCCTGGTTCTCATTCATCGTTGCACCCCTGAAATGTCTCCAGGCACTCCAGGCTGGGAACCCCTCTTCTAAACCTAAAACTAATAATATCCCAGTGGAGAGCATGTGTGGCATGTGTGGCAATTTATTCTCCAAGGAAGGCCAGCATGGTATAGTGGTTTGAGCATTGGACTATAACTCTGGAGACCTGGGTTCGAATCCCAGCTCAGCCATGAAACCTTGAGCAAGTCATGCTCTCTCAGCCTCAGAGGAAGGCAAGAGCAAACACTCTCCGAAGAAACCTGCTAAGAAAACCTCAT